TGGTGCCTTTTGTTTTTACCCCAGGGCTTGGCTTAGGTCCTTGACTTGCATTGTTTTGTGCACATGTAATGCATCTAGCACTTACTTGGGCACACAGGGTGGGGAGTTTGGGAATGAAATAATATCTGTCCAATAGTTTTCCAGGGCCGTTTTTCAGCCCAGACATCATGAAACTCCTCCAGAAGGCAGATGAGCTTTGCCAGGTCCCCCTTTTCCTGGCAGTAGAGTTGCCATTCGTCTTCTGTAGACATGGTCACTGCCATGATGAGGGCATTTGGTCCTCTCACTGTAAGGCTTGTAGGCCTTCCCTGAGTGAAGGTGATTTGTGCTCCAAGATTTGTTAGTAAGTCTCTTCCCAGCAGAGGAATTGGGCATTCTGGTAAATACAGGAATTTGTGAGTCACCTTGTGCCTTCTTAGTTGGCATGTCCGGCATCAGAAGAACAGCTGGGCAGTTTGGGTGCTGGTGGCTCCAAATATTGTGGCCCTGTGCTCAGTGAGTGGGGCCATAGGTTTAGTGACCACAGAATGATCAGCACCTGAGTCCACCATGAAGATCAGTGGTTGGCCCCCACTTGGTTTCAACTGTGGGCTCTTGGGGGCCTAGTAGTAAGGAGCCTGGTCTTCCCTAGTTTGATTCAATTCATGCTAGGCCAATGAGGTCCTGGTCCTCTGGCTGGGGTTGCCATCCTGTCTTCTTTCCTGGAGTAATTATGTTAGACTCCGATGCTGGTCCCTTGCAGCGGGGGCATTCAGAGACTAATCTCCTTGCAATAGGCATATTGGTCTCATCGGAGTGGGGTTCTTACACCGGGTCTGCCCTTCCATGGCGGGGCTGACTGCATGGTTGGGTCTGGCTTCCCCAGTGCTGCACTCAATAAAGAAACCTTGACTTTCACTCTTTAATGGCTTCTTGGTTTTCCCCATGTTCCTGAGTTACAAAGACTTTATTTACCACTTCTAACAGCTGGGTGGTATTCATTCCAGCAAAGCCTTCAAGTTTCTGAAGTTCTTGGCAAATGTCGGTATATGACTGAGCCACAGACACGGTATTGACCATTCACTGGTTTTTCTGATGCTTCAGATTGAAGGGGGTGTAAACCCAGAAGGCTTCACAGAGTCACTCATAAAAATCAATTGATGTTTCCTCTGGCTTCTGGATAACTGCTGCAATTTTGGACATGTTGATAAGTCACTTAGCTTCAGCCCTGAGCCCGTGTAGGAGGGCGGTGTGATATTGAGCGAGGACTCCTCGTCCTTCTGCTGTATTGAAGTCCCAGCTGGGCCAAGCAACAGGGGCCATGTCTCTTGCCCAAGCTACTGCATCTAGGGTTCTTGCTGGTCCCTCCCTTGGAGCCAGCAGCAAGCTTCTGTCAGAATTTGCCATCACTCTTCTGTGTTGAAAAATGTCAAGAGGATCTGCCAGCAGTCATCCCAAGTGGGTTGATGAAATATGGATTCTAGGAGGTCGACCATGACCTGGGGTTTTTCTGAATACAGCGATGTGTGGTTCCTCCAATTTAAGAGGTCAGTTGTACTCAAAGGCTGGTAATAGAGGATGGAGTGTCTGGGCTGGACCGTGCCATCAGCACCAATCTGCTGGGGCCCTTGCATCTCATGGAGCAGAATTTACAGGGCCTTGTCCTGAGGGACTGACTGGTGCCTGGGTTGAGTGAAGGCGACAACTCAGGCACTGGGGACTCAGATTCCAAGCCAGGGGTGAGTGTGGGAATACACAGGGACTAGGAGGCTGCTGACCATACCGAGGAGGACTCACTGAAGGTGGCTGGCTACCTGGGAAAGGTGGCACTGGCTGCTGTGATGGTGGGGGCACACTGGGAATGTATGGTAGGGGCACAGGGAGTTCATCTTCTGGATCACCTTGCAGAGCAGGCTTAGTCAGCTTCTGGTCTTTAGGCTTCATTCCTGGGCCACCAAAACTCTGCTCTTTCTCTTTTTGTTTGTGCAGAATCAGACCCAAGGGTGCATGGTCTGAGCTACCTGAAACCAGGAGTCAATACAGAGGAAGTGGCCAGGATGTCCAGGGGTTCCTATTATGATCTAATAAATAGCCCTGACAGTGGGCAGATCTAGGGTACCTTCGTGGGGCCATCTCACTCCAAAAGTGGGCCATTCTAACTCACACAGCATGCACAGCCTTCTGGGAAACATTCTGATCCCATAATCTCCTGAAAATCCCTTCTTAAAATGTTTAAAAATACACTCTAGGACCATGGGCTTTGAGAAACTTCCACCATGGCAGTTAGGGTGTCTCCTATATCCACCCTATGTATTTCCCCCGTGTCAGTGTGCAAAGACAAACAAGGGTGGGTGCCCCTTCAAGAGAAGAGACCAATCAAATGTCTGCCTGGCTGCATCCCGAAGGCACTTGGGTGCCTCTTAGCATCAATGGCGAGGTCAGCCTCGTGACTCTAGATTGGGTTTCCCCAACGCTACCCTAAGCCTTAAGAGGATCGCCACAGAACCACAGGACCAATCCACTCAGACTCTAGCTTTTCAGCCATGGAGTCACAATCTCGAGCCCGAAGCAAGGACAAATCAGGCCACTCATTCACACACACATTCACACCGAAGTTATTACAGTTTTCCTTCACCCCTTTTGGGGAAGTCCCTGACCTGCAGAACTCCTCTCGGAGGTTCCCAGGAGCTGATCAAACTCCACTTCCACCCAGTGGGATGGGACCTGACTGAGGGCTGACTTTCCTGGGGGTGGCAAGGAGAGACTTACCAAGTCCAGACAAAAACGCCAGGCTAGTTGGTCCACCTCTCCATGGAGTCCAGTTGGGTCAAGACTACTCAGAGGGTTGGAATTCTGGGGTGAAGGAGGACCCGGAATACCATCGGGTGGCACAACATCTCATTTGGTCCCAAGTCCCTCCCTACTTGGTGCAGTCCAGCCGACCGCCAGTGGCTCAAGGGGTCAGACTGGTTGGTGTCTCACTGGGTCCTCCAGAAATGTTGTGGAATATTGTCAGATGAGAAACCAACCAACACTCAGAGAGGTGAACAACTTAGATTTTATTTTACGCCAGCAGTCCCAGATGAGCTCGCACTCAAAATTCTGGGCCCCCAACTGTGAATTCATGGGATTCTTAAAGGGCAGTGCAGAGCATCAGGTTATAAGGAATGTGTTACTTGTTAATAGGTGGGCCAGTGGTGGGTTAGAGACCCGGGGTTGTTCAGATAGGAGCAGCTGGGGAGGTCTGCTTTGGAAAGTTTGTCTACAGAAGGAGACAAAGGAAGGTGGGATTGGGCAGTTATCTCTACATGAGGCCTTTTGTCTTGGCCCTGGACTCATTTTATGGCTAAACTAGCAATTTCTCAGGTCCTATGGTCTGCTTGAGAAAATCTTCTTGTTCACACTCACAGGTGTGGCTGGCTGGTCATTATCTCAGTCTTTGTTTGGGAAAGGGTTTTGCAGAAGTTATCACTTGTCTTAGGGAAACTCTGATTTCTCTTTCTTTGGGACATTTGCCTCCATTCCTCTTTGTAAATATATTATTGGTAAATCCTGTCCTTCCTGGATTGTAGATTCCAAGGTGACTGCAAGGTGAATAGCTTAAACAAAGACAGATGCAAAATTGAGGCAGGGAGGCCAAGCTTTTTCCATATTTTCAATGTTTGGACCCAAGTAAGGAGTGGGTGCTTATATCCATGTATGAAATTGTCAAACTAAAACCAATTATTCTATATAATTAATGTACACTAGTAAAAAACAACCTTCAGGATCTCACTTATGTATGGAATTTAAATTAGTCAAACAATAGGTTTGTGGTTGCTCAGGCTGACAGGAAGAAGAAATGGGGTAATATTGGACAAAAGATAGAAAGTGTAAGTTATGCACAGCATATTCTGATAATTAATAATACTATATTGTATTCCTGAAAGTTGCTAAATGAATTGATCTTAAATATTCTCTTTATACACACTCACACACACACAAATGGTAACGATGCAAAGGTGATAACTATGATACTTAGCTGGATTGTGATTATAATTTCACAAAGTGCTCCTTTATCAAAACATCAAGTTTTACACCTTAATAACATAGACATTTTATATGCCAATGACATCTCCATATATCTATTAAAAGAAATGACGTTCATGTGGTGATGTTAGAGTAGCCGTTTTCTGTGTGGACTCTTCTGAACCTCCTTCTTAACAAATTCTGCTTTTCAAAAAAATATTTCCATACAATTAGATTATTTTCATTAAACAAAAGGTTTAAAAGAAAAGTAAACAAATCCGTGAGTGTGCTGAAATATTACATTGAGTAAACTCATCAACTAAATTAGTTTAAACTTGGACGTGAAGGATAGAGAAGCCTCATGTTACCGCAAGTTAATAATATTCCTCATGGAAAATGGCTCACAGACAGGCATTCCAAATACATGAAAAAAAACATGAGAAGCAAATAACTACTACATAAGAATTATGTCAGCCAAGTACAATTTTTTTTTGGTCTTCACTGACATCTTGATTCAAGCCAGTAGTGTAAAAATTTAAAAAAGAGTGTATGTAGCTGTTATTTGTTGGTGGTCATTTATGGCAGTTATGAATTATCATTTGTTTTTCTGCTTGATAATGGTATTACATTTATGTTAATTAAATTTTGTAGGTTTTGAGGGCACATACTAAAGAACATTTGCCCTGAATGCTAGGAAAATTTGGATCTGCTATAGGCTAACTCCAGTGGGATAAAATGAAATAAGAATAGTCATGCTTTGACAGTTGTTAAAGCGACTAAAGGATTTATGCATTTTTATATTATTTTCCCTAACCTTTGACTTTGAAATTGTCCATGATAAAGAGTTTAAACAGAAAAATGTGAAAACTGATCTGTGTAAGGGGCTAACTAAGGGAAACAGAACTGAGACAGGAGCACTATTCGATAGAACAAAGCACAAAGATCTTCTGGCACAGCAATCTCTCAATTTTCCTGTCCCTTCTTCCTTTCAGGTAATTTATTTGCTCATAGTCATGGGTCAGCTCTTCTCTGATACACCTAATGATAAACAAAACCAAGACTTAGCCTCCAGTTTTAATGGATATTTTAAGAACTTCAAGATGGACAGCAAAATCATTTCACAAGACACCATCGATATGATTGAATTACATCTGAGGAAAGGAAACATCCAGGGAGCAAACTCTGTAATCAATGCTGCATTAAAAGAAATTGATGCCACCATACTCAACATTGCTGTGACAGGGGAGTCTGGCGCAGGGAAGTCCAGTTTCATCAATGCCCTGAGAGGGGTTGGTCATGAAGAGAAAGATGCGGCTCCCATTGGGGCAGTGGAAACAACTATGCACAGAGTGCCATACAAACACCGAAACATTCCCAATGTGATCATATGGGACCTGCCTGGCATTGGAACCATGCATTTCCAGCCAAAAGATTATCTGGAGAAAGTAAAGTTCAGTGAGTATGACTTCTTCATTATTATTTCTTCTACACGCTTCACAAAAAATGATGTAGATCTTGCCAAAGCAATCAGAAATATGAAGAAGAATTTCTACTTTGTGAGAAGCAAGGTGGACTTTGATTTATGGAATGAAAAGCACTGCAAACCATCTACCTATGATAGAGAAAAGGTCCTGCAGCAGATCCGAAACCACTGTGTGAATTCTTTTAAGAAGAATAAACTTGATGAGCCACAAATCTTCTTGATCTCTAACAATAATTCATCTGAGTATGATTTCCCAATCCTAATGGACACCCTAATAAAGGATCTTCCTGCTCAAAAGCGCCACATTTTTATGCTTTCCTTGCTTAATGTTACTGAGGCAGCCATTGACAGGAAGAGGGAGTCTCTGAGGCAGTTTATCTGGCTAGAAGCCTTGAAGGCTGGGACACTGGCCACCTTCCCTACAGTAGGCATCTTCAAGGACAATGATTTGGAGAAGCTGGAGGCAAACTTAAACCACTATCGAACCGTCTTTGGAGTGGATGATGTATCCCTGAAAGTTTTTGCAAAGGATTTGCAAGTGCCTGTGAAACAACTCAAGAAAATTATTAAATCCCCAACTTTGTTGAAAACTAAGAATGAAGAAACCATAGGGGGAAAGCTGTTGAGATATTTGGAGATATTCGCTTCAGCTAATGGTGGCCTCCTTGCTACAGGGCTTTACTTTAGGAAAAACTTTTACTTGCAACTTCATTTCCTTGACACGGTGACCAATGATGCTAAAGTTCTCCTTAAAGAGGCATGTTCAAGAAATCAATTCAAAACCAACCTGTCTACAGCTGCTGACAATGACACCACCTCATGATCAACAACAGAGTCATTTACATAAGTTCCCTTTCCCACATATTTTTGTTATAGTAGCCAATCCACAACCCCCATGGAAAGCCCAGGCACCTTAATTATGGCATAATCCCACAGCATGCTCATTCTCTCTCAGTCACACACACACACACACACCTAAACTTTGCTCTCTGCTCCCCCATTAAGGTTGTCTTAGAGAGTAACTGTCATGGCTTATGGCCACTTTCAATAGGGAGATGACAAAACCAAAGGGGAAAGAAAACATAACCATGGAAATCACAACAGCTTTTTTTTATAAAGTTAACCAATTCCTAAAGATCCTATGTAGTCAGAAAAATTCTTGAAAAAATAACTAAAGAAAATATATAATTCCATGCTGGAGAAGTGGGGAACTCTATGAGATCACTGTGGTTTGTAAGCATTACTTGTCTTTTGATTGTCCTGACGATAAAAAAATAGCTTTAATTCGTATCTGATAACACTAGGTACTTAATAAATTATTGATAAAAAAGTTGTTTCCTGTTGGTATTTGAAATCTCAATACACCCATGATAACTTCATATTCATTGCTGTTAGTTTTGCTTTTATTTACTGAACTCTTGTCCATTCCCTGGCCCTTCACTTTTTCCTCAAAATAAAATACAGGAAGAAAGACTGACAGAGAAACACAGAAGGGTAAAATGATTCATTGGTGAGGGATGGTATGTTAGAGACTGGGTGGATTAAAAACAGAAATTGATTTCTCACAGTTCTGAAGACTGGAAGTATGAGATCCAGGTGCCTGCAGCTGGGTTCCTGAGGAAAGCATTCTTCATGGTCACATCCTCACATGGCCTTCTTTGGTGCATGCATGCAGAGAGAGTCCCTTTGTCTCCTCCTTTTTCCATAAGGGATATTAGTCAGTTTTTCATCACTGACAAAAACTACTTAAAAGAAGAAGGATAAGTTTTCTTTTTGCTTATGGTTTCAGAGGTGTCAGTCCCTCATGGAAGGGAAGGCTTAGCAGAACAGCCCACGTTCTGGCAAACAGGAAGCACTGTGGAGCAGCAACTGGAAGAGGCCTGGGCAAGATCTAACCACCTAGGACAGCCCCTCAGTGACCTACTTCCTCCAACCAGGCCTCCCCTTCCACAGATCCACCATCTCCCAACAGTCTATTCAAAATTTGAATCCAAAAATGGATTAAAGTACTCATTTGGTCACAACCCTCAAGATCTAATTGTCTCTGGAAATACCCTCAGAGACACTCCAGAAATGTGTTTTACTAATCTCCTGGACATTTGTCAATCCAATCAAGTCAACAATCATGATTTACTGTCACAAAGGACATCAGTTTCTTCATAACAGGTGGATTATGTAAGCTATTTATATGGTCTAGTTGCTCTCTTATTTGCACCTATGAAGCACTGCTCTACCAACACCAAACACTTCAAAATATTCTGAACATAAATTTAGATACAGGTTGAGCATCCCTTATCCAAATACTTAGGATGAGCAATGTGTTAGTCAGCTTTCCATCACTATAACTAACTACCTGGGATAATGAATTTATAAAAGAAGATTATTACTTTAGAGCTTCCATTCCATCACATAATTGGGCATACACAATAATGGCTAGATGGCAATGGTGGTACCACATAGCCAAGCAAATTGCTCACCTCTTGGTAAGGGAGCAAAAGTGAAAGAGGAAAAGACAGAGCTCCACAATCCCCTTCAAGGGCACACACCCAACGAGGTAACCTAAGTACCTTCCACTAGATCCCATCTTCTAAATGTTCTACCACTCCCCAAAAGTGCTATCTTGGGCACCAAGCCTTTAACACATGAGACTTCAAGAGACATTCAGCATTCAAACTATAACAATAAATGTTTCACACTGCAGAGTTTGGAATGTTTGCAGTATACATGAGATATCTTGGGCATGGTCATATACAAATTTCTTATGACTATAGCTATATGGGCATACAGAAAGCCTTATACTGTCTCTTCACTGTATTGGTATAAGAAATAAATGGAGTGCTTTCAGAGAAAAAGAAAATTCTTACACTGGCCTTGTTACTGGTCCTGAAACACATTTTGTCTCTGAGGCTTAGAACAATGCAAGTCACACAGAAGGTGAGCAACAAATTAATATTTGCTGAATGAATTGTGTGAGTAAGAATTTCTTGGGAAAATGGAGATTACGGTAGTGAAGGATCTTTAGGTTATTAAGTGTTTGTTACATATTTTGTCAGGATCAAAAGAGCCAATTAATTGAAAGAGATTATCAAACTGGATAAAAAAGCTAGACACAACCGTATGCTATCCATAATAAACTCACTATATGCATAAATAAACATTGCTGAAAATTAAAAAGATGGCAAATAATATGCCTTGCTTATGCTAATCTAAAGAAAGCAGAAGTGGATATGTTAATATCTACTGAATCAGATCATAGAGTATAGAAAATCACCAGAGATAAAGGATAATTTAAGAAGGTAAAACAATCTTATTGTGAATCAAATAACAGAGTTTCAAAACATATGAATTGAAAAATAACATGATGACCTGCAAGGAGATGTCAAAAAATGTACAAGATATTCAGAAATTTCAATAACAATATCTCAATGATAATAGGACTACTAAAAAGAAAACCAGTGAGGATTTAATAGCTATAAATATGATTCCATGACGTCACACAATTGTCTATGGGATGCTGGGCTCATCCCCTGGCTGAAGACAACATGAACTGTTGTATAAAAGGTATACCAAAGCTTTGGTAAGTATGGCTCAGGCTGACACTCATAGAACCCCACAAAACAGAAGTGAGATATATATTTTTCTCAAGTGTAACTGGATCATTTACAAAGATAGACTACATTCTGTTTCATGAAGTTAACAGACATTTCAGCTAACTGCAAGTCATACCTTTATGCATACCACATACGGTAAGCACCTTATTTGGATCATATTAACTAGAACCTTCAGTAAAACAATGCCTACAATTGAGGCTATTTACATAGTTACTGAAATGACACTAAGGAATTGTGAAGAAAGCAGACATGATGGGGAATAAAATGCATAAGTGACCCTGGGTATGTAAAGGGAAGAGATGGCAGAAGTAATAAAGGAGACAGGAAGGCATCCTTAAAAGCAAATATCTAAGAGGATGCAAAAAGCGGGCTTCTTGCCCAGATAATAAAGTACAGTGGTCTTTTGCCTAGGTAAGGGAGACAAAGAAGGATTCTTAAAAACAAACATCTAAAGAGATGAAACAGACCCCTTAAGGAAGATAGCACAGCAAAACTTTCCCAAGATAAACGAAAAGGGGGTCTCATCAAAATCATGAGCAGCAGTCATAAAATGAGTACGGTGGGTCTCAAGGGTAGGATGGACTAACAAGGCCCTTCTGCAGTGTCCAGTCTAGTAAGGATGGGGTCAACAACAAGTTAATTAGACAGCCAATTATAGATGCAGCTTCACAGTAGAGTAGGGTGTGCATAAGTCAGGCCGAGCCCTTTATTACCTCCTAGACTTCAGCCATTCTTTGGCTTAGCTCTTTCACTAAGTCCTACCCATTGGGGTGCTTTGCTATCCTTTCAATAAACTTTGTGCTTGCCTTAACTCTTAACTCCTGGTCTGGTGTCTTTAATCATTGACTATACCAGGACACGAACTCAGGAACAACACTCCAGTATCAGAACAATTATGATGGTTTCCTTTTAAAGATCTGTATCATTTAAAGACAGATAATGAAGCATTTGTGTAGAAAATGGTGCTATGCCTTGAATTTGCTTAAAATAGCTCATCTTGAGGCTAGATGAGAGTCAGTATAGATGAAATCAGACTAGCTTGAATCAGACTAGTTGAACATTGTTTGTGAAATAACTGAGATAGGAAACCATGCTAATAAATACATGGAGTTTCATTTCACTAGTTTCTATAAACTTGCATATGTTTTAAACGTCCCACAATGAAAGTGTAACATTTAAGGGTCAATGTTCCTGCTCCAGTTAAGGTAGGGTAGGAATACCCACCCTGTCCCACCCACTGAATGTAAGCAAACTCTGTAAACAGAATGATGCCTGCGGGCCTGTAAGCCTAGCTACTAGGGACAAAGAGATCTGGAGGATTGTGGTTCAAGGCCAGTATGGGGAAACAAAAAAAAGAAAAAAAGAAAGACCTCATCTCAACCAATTAAAAAAAAAAGCTGAGCAGGGCGGCGCATGCCTGTCATCCCAGGTACATAGGAAACATAGAATGGCCTGCCTGGGCATAAATACAAGACCCAATTTAAAAGTGAAAAGGGATGTAAATGTGGCTCAAGTAGTACAGCACCTGCCTGGCAAGCAGAAGGCACTGAATTCAAACCCAGTACCATTTAAAAAAAATAAAAACAAAACAGAATGCCTGGAATAGCTGAAGATTCTGGAAGAAAAGTATAACAAAAGGAAAATAGATTTTTTTTTTAAACTTTTTGATACAGGGATTGAACCCAGAATCTTACTGCTACCTTTGCTGGAACTAACCTCGACTGGAAAATAGATCTTGAGTACTACTGAACAGAGTATGCTTCTGTTTTTATTTATTTTTTCTTTCGGTCTCAAAGGTGGCCTAAGTGCCAAACATTCGCTGACAGAAAGACCTTTAATAGAAGCCCTTTATTTTAGATCAAGAAGCAAGAGATACCTATGTGTTTGAAAAAAAAAAAGTTTGAGAAACTTACTTTTTCTCCTTGTCCCAGCCCAGTTGACAGCAGTGACTAGGCAGACACCAAAGCTATGAAGGAAAAATAGCGCTTCTCTCTGACCATAGGAATTGTGATGCCAAGAATGTGGGGCTCAGGCATTCCCACTGATTTTCTCCGCCCCCACCCCTCCCTCTGCTCTCATTTTAATAACAGAGTCAGAAGCACTCATACAAAGTACAAAACAGAGGAGGAACCTAAAACCTAAGTTTCTACTTAGAGAACCAGGAAAGGAAAGCAGGAAGGTGTTGGGGGGTTGGCTGCTAGAAGGGAGGTCCAGGCAACAATCCCATAAAGTTGTCTGTGGGCTGTTGGGTTCATCTCCAAGCTGAA